TATAAAACTCTCTCTTTTCCATTTCTTTTTTTTTTTGTGCACTCACTCTCTACTCTCTCCTCCCTTTTAATCTTCTTCTCTTGTTCTCTCTCTACATTCTCACTCCATATTATTAATTATAGGTAAAAATTAGAATAATAAAAATTTTACACAAAAAAACGATAAAACTATAAAAAAGTTGCACGACATTCAATTAAGATAGTAGAAAAAATCAGTTAAAAGAAGGCGGTATAAAATTGTTGTTTACTTGTTTTGTTTCTTAAGTTTAGAATAATGACAATTTTTTGCTAGCAAATCAAAAAAGAATAATGACAATTTTTTTTAAGATAACAGTTTTTATTGTTTTTATGGTATTGGCGTGTTGCTCAGAAAAAACAAAGTGGACTAATGCAATATTTTCAGAAAGTGATAAATAAATTAATATGTTGTCCTGCACTTTAAAAAATTATACCATTTTATCTCTATTTATAAATCACTTGTATTCCAAACTTGTAAATCAAGAGATGCATTAAATTTATAATTTTTTTCACATTTGCCTTATTAAAAAAGGTATTAAAAATATGTCTATCACCTATTCACTTTATTACTCTTTGTATTTATTAAGTCAATAGGACAACATTAAAAAAATTTATTAATTACTTAATAAGTGACTTATATTTAGGAGCAATCTTTTTCTCTACAATTGATTTATAAATAAAAATAGAGTAATAGTGTTTTAAAACCCAGGTTTAAAACCTTTTTATAAATAATAAGCTAAAAACCCGGCTAGGAGAGAGTAAGAGAAAAGGAAAAAAAAAAGAATAGAGAGAGAAAGCGTGGGGGAAGGGAGGGAGTTTTATAGGGTGTGATGCAAAGGTATTAAATGTCATATGTTTTTGCATTTTTTTAGCCGCAGATTATATAAAGGGTCAAGATTAGAGAAGTGGAGGGAAATGGATGTAAAAGAAATGAAGAGACCCCGCGCGGATAATTAGATAGAGAGATTAGAAATCTTAGATACACAGGTTAAAAATAATTGTACTTCTTTCCTTAAATCAACGACATTTAACTTACAATTACATTTCCGTCGAAGGAGACTATTACATTAAATATGCTTCCTCCTATATTTATTTTAAGCATTTAGTAAAAAACTTTTTATAAATTAAGAAAGATGGTAATAAGTAGCTTTTTTAAAAATAAAATATTACATTACTCTCAATAAAAATTATCAGTGAGAAGAGTTTGCCCAATTCGTATTTATATCCAAAAGTAATACTTCAAAACAATATTACATTCATTGTAAAAAAAAATTATATTATGAGATATATTGGACATCTTTATAATAAGTATTTGTGGGAGTAGTCCAAAAATTGATGCCTCCGTAAAGTCATATTTAACGATTGGCTTCAAGCGATTCTCTCCCTTGATTGGTGTTTCAATTTTCCACAAATGCATTTATTTTAGTCCATTTCCGCCCATTGATTTGACCTAGCATTCCTTTAACTCAGTCAACAAAGTTTAGGCTCTATTTTGTATTTTGATATATAAAATGAAATGGAACAAGAAAGAAACTAAATGAAATGAAGTTCCTTTTTAAATATTAAATGTATTTATAGAAAAGAGAGTTAATGAGATATTCGGTTAGACTAGGTAAATAACATAATGTTAATTTTAGAAAAATAATAATCAAGAAAAATAAAACGGTTTGAATTGAATGGGCTTCCCCCTTTTAAAATATTTTCTCTATATTCACAACATTATATGCCTTGAGCTTCTGGAAACGTTGCATCTACATTTCTTTCAATGTTGTCAATGGGAATTTTTAAGGCACGCTTGGATGGAGGAACAGGTGAGCGGAAAATAGGAAGAAGGAATATTAGAAGAAACTTTTAAAAATGGTAAAAAAAAAACTATTTTGGAGAGTTTTCTTCTTAGTATATATTCTTACCTCCTCAATTTTTTCTCATCCAAATAAAGGTTGTTTATGGAGGTTTCAAGTACTACCTCCGGTCATTAATATAAGATCCTGTTTGATTTTTATTTTAGTCATAAATATAAGACTCCAGTTCACTTTGTCTCTCATATTTACTCAATTTTTTTTCAAGATAATCCTTCTAATAATTATAGTTATAGTTAATACACTAAATTAGCAAGGATATTTTAGGAAAGACAACACCTTTCTAGAACAAATAGCTAACTCAACTTACTTTTTTAATCTCTTTAAATTAGTCAATTAACTCTTATAATTAAGACCGGAGGTAGTATTACAAAATAATTTATTTGGGGAGACTATAAAAGTTAATAAACAAGTAGACATGAAGGAAGAAATGGCGGTTAGGGTGGGTGACCCTCTTACATTTAAACCTCTGACTTTGGTGCCCGCGGGTGGACAATGCTATTCAGGACACAGACCAAAAAAGTCAGAAGGATGGATCAGGACGCTCTCTGACTTCTGGCAATCTCATTTGGCCCATTTATTTATCATTTCAACCGTCAATTTGTTTGTTACTTCCTAAATACTATTTCCGTTTTTATTTATAAGATTTTTTTATAATCTACAAACAAAATTTTATAATTAAGACTGGAGATAGTACTTATTTTGTTTCAAGGAATTTGTCTGTGATTCTGTGAATTTAGAAGGACTGATTATTATGAAGTTTTGACTAAAGAATACTACCTCTAAACCTTAATATAAGAACTAATTGACTAATTTAAGTAAATTAAAGAAATTTGTTAAATTAGTTATTTGTAATAAATAGGTGTTGTCTACCCTGGAGTACCCTTACTAATCATGTGTATTAGTTAAAACTACTATTTTGTAGAATCTTTAATATGTACAACTAGTATAAGAACTATTTTAAAAAAAATAAATAAATATGAAAGACAAAGTGGATTAAGATTTTATATTTAGAACCAACTTAAAATTCAAATTAGCTCTTATATTAAAAAGAAAAAAGTAATTTCTCTGTCCCTATAGTTTGCATGAGTTTTGCAACAGGTCCCTGATTTTTATTTTTTTTTCATTTTATAGGATCCTTTGAGTTTACTCTGTTAGTTCCTTTAGTCCTTCATCTCAAAAACCGTTAAATAAGCAGTGACGGTGTTAAAATTTCCTTTAGATCAATTTGAGGTGGCAAATAGCTGGCAATATTTTACAAGTGGACTCTAACTAAAAATCTAGGTGGAAGTAGTTAGTGTCTGGGAAAAAATAAAGTCTTGCATCGAAGAAGCCACGCACTAGAGCATCGTCTTCTGTTTATTCCATTGATCTTCACTGTTGTCAAGGAGCTTCAGCAGATTACAAAATACTAGAAATGAAGTCCCAAATCCCCATAGATTCAAAATATATGATGCACCCACAAAACCTATTCATTGTTCAAGCCTTCAAGGTTCTGCCGCCGTTAACCCCTTTCTAGAACACAAATCCTTTTAAAAAGTTTGGCCATATTTCAAGACACAATAGCTGGGATATGATAGGGACAAAACTTTGAGGCTGGGTTGAAAAAACTCGAAATTTGACGGAATGAGATACGGATGTTACTGAACCCATGGTTCGATGGTTTTGGATTCACAATCAGAGAGTCCAGTTTCAGATTTTAGCTTCCTGTTTTCATAAACTTTAGCTTCGTAGAATCTAGAAAGGAATCAATTTCAGGTTCGATAGGGTGTTATGCTTTCGAGATTCGAGCACTTCGTTCTTGCCCTTCTTTCCTTCGTCTTCGTTCTGGTTCACCCTAATCTATTTGATATTCTGCTTGTATTTGATAGTTCTTGTATTTAACACAAGCATTTTTTTTCCCACATCAACCTCAAAAGATGCCACCTCAGATTGATCCAATGAAATCTTTAACATTGTTACTACTTATTTAACAGTTTTGAAGATGAAGGGCTAACAAAGTTGACAGAGTAAATTTAAAGAACCTCATAAAAAGGAAAAAAAATTGAAGGACCTAATTCAAAGCTTGTGCAAACTATAAGGACTTGGAAACTAATTTTCCCAATTAAAAACCAAAAGTAGTATTTAACTATCTTTTTTTCCTTTTAATTTATTAGAACTAACATTTTGTTTACATTCTTCTTTTGCCTTCTCAATCTCAACTTTGTTTTCTGCCACTAACTTGCGTGACTCTTTTAGCAACCTTGATTCATGTTTGTTTGGGATAACCTTTAAAAGTATTTATAAGCATATTTTACCTAAACTGAAATAAAATTCATCTCATAGGTTTATTTTATATTTTATAAATTATAATTAAAAAGTTACTTATAAATTATTTTAGAAAAAATTAATTCGTAGGTCCTTATAATTCACTTCAATTTTGAATTAAGTCCTTATAGTTTATTTCTTTTAAATAGGGCCCTTGTATTTTGATCCATTAAGCCCATCCATCTTCAAAGGTTAACACCATGAAGTTTTGATGATGCAGAGGCTGACTAAACTGACATGTGGATTAAGAAACATGAGTTGGCACCACATGGATTAATTTTGATGATAGGTGGATAATAAAGTGATTAAGAAGCTTGTAACTAAGACCATCGTGATCAATCGATTCAAGAAACCATCACATTCCCGCCCTCTCGCTAATTTTGCAACCAATTGCAAAACATTCAGTTTTGGTTTTCATTGGGTGCGGATATTATCAACAAAGAAGCCAACAATGTGAGCAGATAATAAAATCAGAAATTTTAATTTATATATGAAACATGACTGTTTAATTTTCCTCTTCAATTGTTGATTTACATATGATTACTGTTTTCACCATTAAATTGTATTCAACATGCAGTTAAGTTGGGACATCATCCTCTTCAATACAAGTTTTGACAATTTCAATTTCTTACCATGATTTACTTTTTTTAATCTTCAATTGCTAACCAGTTAAGGACTTAAGCTCGATAGTATAGGATATGCTAAATAGTATGGGAGCTATCGCGTTTATATCAGAAGTTTTAGAAAGTCAGTTAAGATCCACTAGAAAAATAAAACTCTCATTGCAAGAAAATTAAAGAAGAGAAACAAAAATATTGCAATAAATGGTAGATTAAGATATAAGAATGGTCGAGTGGTACTTGATGACATATAGCACCGTGAATTTTAAGAGTAATTTCCTTGTATCATGATTGCAATTGAAAGCAAGGAATTCCGCGGCGGGAGTCGAAAACTGAAGACCTAGAAACAATAACCCTTGATTTCTTTCCATGTTTACCTGAAAATTTTACAACTAAAATAATTTTAATATTATATTTTTAACATGTTAACTGGCCATGAAAGCATATTATTAGCCACATCGTCAAAACTTAATAGTGCTATAACAGTATTGACCCTTAAGGATTGATGGGTTTAACAAATCAAAGTGTAAGGATCCGATTTAAAAAAAAAAAAAACTATAGAAATCTGATTTAAAATTAAAATAAATTATAAGAACTCACGAATTAATTTTTTTATTATTTTATTTTAGACAGGTTCAGAGTTCCTCCGTGAGAATCACTTCGTGTGGCAGCCGTGGCAGCATATAGTCCTCTGAATTTAGTACAAATCAAATAATTGTACGTCTACTGGCAATTGTCCTCTTTTAATAAGAACCTATAGTTTTTTCCCCAGTCTGACAAAGCACTATCACTAGTTGGGAATTGAAGTGAAAACTGATGAATCCAAATAAATATAAATATTTTACAACTGTGTGCACTGTTTCTTTTATCAGTGATGAATCTTAGCCTCTTCGTAATCATCATTTTATCTCTTTAATTAGAACCATCGTTACACAAAAGTTCGTGCGGATTCCATTAATTATTGGCAATAGTTCTTATTCATTTTACTGTCTGGGAGAGTGTTCGTTTTGTAGATGACAAAACATGCCATCGTACTGATATTTAATTAGGCACGAAATGATTAGAGAGTGAAAAATTGAAAAGGGAAAAATGCAGCAGGTAATCCACGCTATTAGCTGAGCCATACTTCAGAACGATCGAGTTGAAATTTTGGACGTCAAGTTCAGGTGAAATATTTACGATTGTGGAAGTCGATGCTTTACATGCGTTCTTGGTCAAAGACTCAAAGATTAATTAATTAGCATTTTTTTTATTAATCATCTAGTAATTTAGAATTATATTAGGATAAATTATGTTTGAATATTATATATATTATCATATCTTAAAAGAATAAATCTAAGATATTAGGATTAGATTAGATCTGATGAGATTTTAGGGTTAGTTTGTTAGGTTATGGTTTGCCTATATAAATGATCATTGTCCTCAATCTATATGTATTTAACTCTAGTAGATTTTTAATACAAATTAGCTTAATTTCTACCCTATATGAAGTTCTTAATCTCTCTGGATGTTGCTTAAATGCATATTAATATTCAGACATTTAATCGTAGCTAACCATATCTAGTATTCCTCCGATCCTTAATATAAGACCTATTTAACTAATTTAATTAGATTAAGAAAGATAGATAAGTTAGTTAATTATAAGAAATATGACATGTTTTTCTTAAAACATTATAATCATTTTTCTTAATATCTTCTCTACCTCACTTACCTGATTATGGTTGAGAGAATGTCTATATGAGTAATTTAGGAAAAACTGATAAATATAAAAAATAAGTATTATATTTAGAACCAAAATTAACTTAACAATTAGGTCCTATATTAAGGATTGGAGGAATATAATAGGGCTTCTTGTTCCATACTGATATTAAGGGAAACGTTTTCTATATTTAGGGTTTCGTCTAAGAGAAAAGAGTTAGGATGCTTAAGTAATATGTACCACAAATTTATCAGATCTAGATCGTCCAAATCTGACATAGACAGTTTAGATTTTTTTTAAAATAATTATTTAATTGGTGTAAAATTAAAAATAAAGATAATTTTTAACTATTTTTTTTAAAAAATAATTTTTATTTAAAAATATCAAATCTAGACTCACCAGATACCGCAAGTGCTCTCCAAAATCAGTCCGCTCTAAAGTGGCGGGTGGGAGTTGGCAAATTGATTTCAGACTCAGTTGGAAGGGTTTGGTTGTTGGATACTTGGATAGGATTTGCATTGGGTGCTCATCACTTAATAGGTATAGAATAAAAAATAAAGATATTCTTTTAACTATCATTCTTTAAAAATATAATTTTTCATATTTTAAAATAATTATTTAAAAATATTAAATTTGGACTGTCCACATTGCTCATCAGGTGATAAGCATTGGCTGCATTAAAGGGCGTCAATTTTGCCTCATCGTGAAAACTACGTCGTTTTTTCCAGTGGTGGTCCTAACCACAAGTTGCAACACGGCCCGAACCCTAAACTCTTATCCTATGCCAACCCAGATTTTTTTTACTCAATATGGCAAGTTGGCAACTAACTTAAGCACCTAAATCTGATCCAAAAAGGCAATGTCGTCACAATAAATTAAAATATTAAATCTTTATTTGGGACACAATAAGAAAATAAGGATCTCGAATTCTATTCTTCATCTTTATGGAAAGGAAGAGAGAAACCTGTAAGCAGATCTGAAAACAAAAACATTCATTCTTGGCCGGGGCTCAAATTGAGATCTATGGCTATGGCCTCCTTCTCTTTAACGCTATCTACTTGCCTGGCGATCTCTTCCTCCAGCGACGCTCTCCAACCGCGATGCGATGCCGCCGTGCCGTCCTTGCGATCACCGCTGCTCTTAAAGTACTGAGCCGCCGCGTTCAGCCGGCGGAGGATCGTGCAAAACTCCTCTACCTCATCATCTGTCACGAGGCCGTCCCGCGCCTTCTTCTTCTGGGTGGTGCCGGGAACGACGTCTTGAACGTCGTCGGCGTGAAGCTTCCTCTTCTCTCCTTCCGACATGAGTGAGGGACACAGTGGGTCGGATCGTAATAATGATAATGGTAGGTTGTATATAACCATCACCCCCATTAGCATTCTTTGCTTTGCTTTGCTTGGCCATTGGTTATTTCCAAAAAAGGAAAAAAGGAATGCTACGGTACGGTCGGTTTCAGGAGGCATCGGGATGGTTCCGTCTGGGAGAGGCCCAATGGTCATCTGACACGTGTGTGGATATTTGCAAGACATGCATTGGTGCGTGATGACGCTAGTCTGATTTCACACTAACGCCTGGCCCAAAAAAATGGGATTTCACACTTTTTTTTTAACCAGCAAAACTGGGATTTCACACTAACCCTTGTCATATCACCAATATGATATCTGCGTGAATGGTCATATTTCTTTAATACCTTCCAATTATCTTTATTATCTCTCATAATTATTTCTTGTTACCATAAGATTTGGAGATTTTTTTTAAAAAAATTGAAGTTGTAAACTTGTGAATATAACAGAGCAGATGCATCATGTATTCCCTAGTTTGAAAAAAGAATAAGAAATATCCTCTTTTACTTCTCTTCTTCCTAATTCTTTACTTATTTTTTTATTCTTTTTTCCAATCTTTCTTTATTTTTTGTTGTTTTTGTTTTGCTGTTTTAACCTTAAAATAACAACATTCTTTTCAATTAAAAAAGCAAACACTAACAATTTAAGATTATACGTGAGCTCAAATTCATAATCTTCCAATTATGGGAAGCATCTATACCATTTGGTCACGAGACGTGTGCCGTAAAAGCTTTTTAAAACTCGTGAGTGTTAAAAAAATTAATTGGAATTATATATCCTCTTAAGTTTATTTGTTGTTTTGACAAGTTTCAAATGATATCTTTCAGTGTGTTAAATTTTTTTTCACTCCTCTCATCCGTTTTTATAAAATTAAATTTCGTGTGAAACTTTTTATTTGGTTAAGGGGAAATCACAAATAAAGACCCTCGAATTAGCAAAATCACTCTATGGTCACCTGAATATGCTAAATTACTATGAGGGACCCGGTCTCAAATTGTAATTATGAAATCATGGCCAAATTACCAAAATACCCCTCTTTAATTTTTTTTTTTTAAAAAGAAAGCCACTGCCTCACCGGAATCCGGCCACCGGCGCCGGAGCTCCGGCGGCCGCTTCCGGCGGTCTTCCTTTGGTTTTTTTTTTGAAACTGTTTTTTTTTTAAATTGGGGGGAAGTGAGGTTGGGGGGATTTGATCCCCCAACCTAATGCTTCCCAAAATAAGGAATGACCATTGAGCCAACAAATTTCTGTTAACATTATGATGCAAAAAAAAAAAAAAAGTTAACTCATTTACTCTTGTTCCAGGTGATAACAACAATACATTTGGAAATAACAAGTTCTGATTGTAAAATAACACGTCTGGAATAAAAATTTAACAATATGTTTTTTTATAACAATAGATTTTGTTGCAGGCAATAACAACAATACATTTAAAAATAACAAGTTCTAATTATAAAATAACAAGTTTGGGATTAAAATTTAACAACACGTTTTTTTTTATAACAACACACTTTATTTCAAGTGATAACAACAATACATTTAAAAATAACAAGTTCTGATTATAAGATAATAAGTCTGGGATTAAAATTTAACAACAAGTTTTTTTATAACAACACACTTTGTTTTAAGTGATAACAACAATACATTTGGAAATAACAAGTTCTGATTATAAAATAACAAGTCTGGAATTAAAATTCAACAGCACCTTTTTTTTATAACAATTAATTATTTTATACTTTTGGAAAATAAATTATTTATAACTTATAAAAAGTACTTGTAATCTATTTAATTTGCTAAAAAAATAATTTTTATCTCCAATTTATAATCAGAACTTGAAGTATAATTTTTTATAGATTAAAAATACTTTTTTATTGTTCAAATTTATAAATAAAATTTAGGGAAAATGGCAACACACTTTTTTAATTTTTTTTTTAAAATTTTTAATCTATATATCTATACAACTTATTATAAATCAAACTACTTCTTATAAATTATAAATAGTACAATTTATTGTGGATTAAAAATACTTTTTGACTGCTTAAATTTATAAATGAAATTTATCTCTAATTTATAATTAAAAATACTATTTTATTCTTTAAATATAAAAACTATTTTTAATATTTAAAGAATGAAATAATATAAAATTTATACTATGATTAATAAATCAAAAATGCCTTATTATAAATACTTTATAATTTATAAGAAGTAGTTTGATTTATAATGAGTTGTATAGATATACAGATTAAAAAGTATTTTTTTAGAGAAATAATATATTAAAAATATTTTTTATAAGTTATAAATAATTTATTTTTTAAAAGTATAAAATAATTAATTGTTATAAAAAAACGTGTTGTTAAATTTTAATCCCAGACTTATTATCATATAATCAGAACTTGTTATTTTTAAATGTATTGTTGTTATCACTTGAAACAAAGTGTATTGTTATAAAAAAAACGTGTTATTAAATTTTAATCCCAAACTTGTTATTTTATAATCAGAACTTGTTATTTTTAAATGTATTGTTGTTATTACCTGCAATACAATTTATTGTTATAAAAAAAACATATTGTTAAATTTTTATTCTAGACGTGTTATTTTACAATCAGAACTTGTTATTTCCAAATGTATTGTTGTTATCACCTGGAACAAGAGTAAATGAGTTAACTTATATTTTTTTTGCATCATAATGTTAACAAAATTTGTTGGCTCAATGGTCATTTCTTATTTTGGGAAGCATTAGGTTGGGGGATCAAATCCCCCCAACCTCACTTCCCCCCAATTTTAAAAAAAAAACATTTTAAAAAAAAACAAAGGAAGACCGCCGGAAGCGGCCGTCGGCACCGGAGCTCCGGCGGCCGGACCCCGGCGTTCGGCCGCCGACAGTGGCCGGAAGTGGCCGCCGGAGCTCCGGCGCCGGTGACCGGATTCCGGTGAGGTAGTGGCTTTCTTTTAAAAAAAAAAAAATTAAAGAGGGGTATTTTGGTAATTTAGCCATGATTTCATAATTACAATTTGAGACTGGGTCCCTCATTGTAATTTAGCATATTCAGGTGACCATAGAGTGATTTTGCTAATTCGAGGGTCTTTATTTGTGATTTTCCCTTTTGGTTAACGCATCTTGTATCTGTATGTTTTCTTTTCAAACGTCACCATTTTTTTAAACTTTGCTTTAATAAGTCTCCTAAATTTAGAAATGATAAGAGCCTCCTAAAACTTCACAGTATTTTCAGAAAAAATAACTTCATTAGTATTCAGAATTTTAGTTAAAATGATAATACCTCTTGTTTTTAATATAAAACCTAGTTTGACTTTTAATTTGGTCTTAAATGTAAGATCGTAATTCATTTTACTTTTCATATTTATCTATTTTTTTCAAAATAATCATTATGCTAGTTGCACATGTTAAATGTTTCATCAAATTATAGGTTTAGCCAATACACATAAGTAAGAGTATTTTAGGAAGGACAACACTAAGCTATTACAAATAACTAATTCAATTAATTTCATCAATTTCTTCAAGTTAGTCAACTAGGTCAGATCTTATATTAAGAACTGTAGATAATATAATATGTTCTGAAGCTTATTTGGAATTTTAACAAATTTCCAATGACATCTTTTAAATGTATTAAATTATTATTTAACTCTTCTCGTCTCTTTTTATAAGATAAAATAGGCAAGAGTTGGGTATCTCTATTTACAAAATAATTTACAACGTTTAAGCACTAATTAATATGTTTTTTTTTCAAAAATGCCCTTTGAAAAAAAATGATGCTTTTAATGAAAGGAAAGGATCACATTTAAACCCCATTTAAAAACATATTTAAAAAGGAAAAATCCATTTAAAGCCATGTAGAATATGTTACTTTATAAATAGGAAAAAGACAATAATATGTTTGGTGGGGGGAATATAATATAATTGATGGATGATGCATGAATTTGGATAATCCCAACTGGTGATCTGAACTTGATGATAAAATAAGTATTCGATAAATAGGATGTTATCACACCAAATCATTTTTCTCTTTTTGTCTTTGAATTTTAATGGCCCTCTTTGAATTTAACGCCACAAGAATTGCAGCAGTAATTTGAATGCATCTTATGAAAACGGCGTAAAGGAAAAGAGAAAGCAATCGTGTTTTTATGTTGTCTCACCATCTACTTCAAAGGATCCCAACCTTTTGACATATAGATAGATAAGTATAATACATGTGTCTCAAAACAGTTTGAACACATCAAGGAATTTTGTTGGGGGCAATACCATTTGTAATTATAAAAATTTGATCTTATTTTGATATTAGTTGCTAACATTTGAAACTAAAATATTTTTGTTTCAAGGACAAAAAAGATTTAGACAAAACGAAATGAGATCAAATTTTAAGCATTAAAATCACTAGCTTCAAATTTCAAAAGATTAAAATCAAAACAAGACCAGACTACATGATTTTTTTTTTTGGTTACAAGGGATACACTAACACAATACACACTCCTCCACGGGATCGAACCCGCTTGGTTCCACAGATTATTGGCAACTTCATGAATTAAAGATGAAATTGACTCTTTTTTTTTGGGTGGGCCTGGGACCATTGCCTAAATGGGCCTGGTGCCTCCGCCCGGATTGTACTTGGATAGTAATATTAAAGACGGCATTACTGCATTTTTTTTTAGGGTATAAAAACATCTTTTTCTATAGAAATAAAAAAAAAAGAAGGCGATCAAAGATAATTGTGTTTGATTTTCCATGTCGTGTTCTTACTAGTTGAATATAAAAATATGTCGAAAAGTTGAATTAGTCCAGGTGGTTAGTTTGTGGTTTGTAATGTTAATCAACTAGTTTGTTTGGGATCTTTAAACATTTTATGAGGAGTCATGTATATCATAATATTGAAAGTAAGGAAATGGGGAAACATAATAAAGGGTTAAATACAATTTGATTAAACTAAAATGAAGAATTGGAATTGGTTCCTTTTAGATTCACGATCTGAAGATTTTTCTCTTTTGCTTCCTTTTTTTTTGGGGGTGGGGGAGGGAGAGGCTCATAACCGTTAAAAACTGACGGGATGAACGGGCTGTTCAATGCGACAACCATAGTTTTTGAAGCCCACTATATGTTATTGGGCTATGATCAGGGCCTCCCAATCAGTTCTTGGGCCGGAACTAAATAAAAGCCCATATATAATACCCAGTAATTAAGCGATTTTGATTTTTCTTCTAAGCAACACTGTAGGTATAATTTATCCCATTATTATTAGTCCCCTTTTTGGGAGTTTTTCTTAGGGGTTGTTTGGCTTAACAAAAAG